GCTTTATTATTATCAAAACGTTCACATCAAATCGAAGAGATCTCAATAGCGATTTGATCGCCGGGGGAGAAGGTGTGTGTGTATTCCATTAGGAACCCTCTAATAGGAAGGTCGTTTAAGAGTATGGTTTACAGGACATCTTATTCTTCCCGGTATGAATCAAGAACATTAGGCCTTTACATAAAAGGTACAGGTTAAGAATGATATAATTGGACGAAGACTCCAAATAAATATCAAATTACAATTCGTGGACTATTTTCTATTATGTAAATAAGACGAGTGAACAAGTGAACAGGCTAATTGCGAAAATGATAAATTGAGTTAATAATTCCTCGATGAATAAAGTGCAAGAAACACAAATACATATAAAATGCAATATGAAAAACAATGACTATAACTATGATCACGAGTATGCAAACCAATAAACCATGTGTTATGAATACACACTGGATACAATATGCTATGCATTCCTTTTAAAATAGGCCTACAATAATGTATACCGGTAATCAACCTAATGAATACTAGTACGATTTTAATACACTTATCTTGGCAAATTCGGCTTGAGGCTTAACAAAATGACTTATTTATCACGCTCTATACATAAGATGCACTCTCACTTGAATTGTTATTTTTTTTAATTAAGTTGCTTTTTGTAAGGTCTTATACTACTTAACTCCAAAAAGACAAACCACAAGTGGCGCAGTGCAAACTCAAATACGTGTGCCACCACTTGACTTTTGCACTGCCACTAGTAGTTTGTCTTTTTGGCGTGATATCACACGTGGCGGCACACACATTTGAGTTTGCACTGCCCACTTTAGTTTTGCACTCGCCACTTGACTTTTGCACTGCGCCACTTGACATTTGCACTGCTGCACTTGGGGTTTGTCCATTTGGCGTTCCATAGTCCATAATGCTAAAAACACTAGCCTAGAATAAGTCATTTCATATTCTGAACTGTGCATGCCCGTATCCAAGGTCAATCAGAGAAACCTATGTTGTGTGTATGTCATAGAGTGAAGATTACTACCGTACTTACTAAAAGGCTAAATGCATTGAGTTCGATGTTTGAAATATGCAGATCTGTGTGTGTACTCAACAAAATAGCTGTCGTAGATTGTATATGTATGTATATGTATGTGTTATATATGTATATATATATATATATATA